TACGGGGGCGGCAGCTCCGGCGGAGGCCACAAGTCCACTTCCGGGTCCGCCGGCGAGTCCTCATCTAAGGGATCAAGGTCAGCAGAACCCACCTGGGGTAATAAGAACTCGTTTTAACTTTCTAAAACTCCCCACTCCTAGAGCTCCCGCCTGCATGTTTTCATAAATTATACCCCTGACACCAGTCTTGAAGGGAAAGTTGCATAGTGGAAAATGCTATCGGTTAAACATTGCTCGGATTTTTTTTTATTTTTTTTTAAGCAACTGAAAGTTCAATTTTCTTTCTTTTAAATTCAGTGTATTTTTCTTTTAGAATTGTTGCTTGTTAATAATAGGGACCTCCACAAATTGCTTTGTCTAAATTTCTTTTTTTTTTTGTGATTCACCTACAGACACCAGTAAAACCAGAGTGATCAAGACAATTATTGAAGAAGTGGCACCTGATGGTAGAGTCCTTTCGTCTAAGGTTGAATCAGAAACCAAGAAACACTACTATTAAGCCGTTTTATACAGATGCACGAAAAAAGACCTCCGAGAAAGCGCTTCAGTCTTAACGGTCTATGGAAATAACTTCCCTCTTTGAAAATAAGGTCTCTAAAGGGTGTTTTGTGGTTTCTGTCTTTCTTCTTTCCACTTTACCAGAAGGTGTTTCTTTAAAGGAAATAAAAAAGAAATAATTTCTGTCTTCATCTACTAATGAATTCAATAAACTTTCTTACTGATGCAAACTTATCTTCCTTGGTCAGGATCGTCTTTATTTAAACTACATGATATTCTTAACCTTACACATTAGTAAACTCTACCATTTGAAGATTGGGTCTATACATAAATTCTGAAGACAAAATTATTGTCCTTAGGATTTCTCTGAGTGCATTTTTTAACCTTGGGGGTAAGTTGGACCAGTGTCAGTAACCTCACCGAGTAGAAAGCCTGTGAGTCTCCAATCTCATTCTTTCTTAGAAATACACAATATGTAGGAAGCTCCCAGTTCTCTGTCTTCAAATTATTTGAAGCCTAGAAATTCTGAAATATCTCAACTAAGACCCTCAAAATAAAGTTAATTGGAAATTTCACATTTTATGATTACTCGGCTTCTCACATTTACCTTCCCGTAATTTCTTCCCATTACTGTATTCTGCTCAACTGCTATGCAGCGTAAGAGATATTTTCCAATGTTTTCTAGCACAATGAAATCATATCAAACAAAATTATGTGGTGTCCATCAGATGAACAAGAGAAGAACTGTCAAGCCATGGTGATGCCAATTTGACTGAAAGGACACCTCTAGGTTTTTGCCTTGGCCAACCCTGCCCAGTGATCAGTACTAAAAATCTGGTTTTTGTAGGGTCAACCCCATCACCACATCTTTCAGCCAATAACAACCCAAATGATATTATTTCATACTCTGCTAGCATGTGGGGTGGGTAAGGGCTGGAGTTACTCTGTGCCCCTAAGACTACCTTCTGTTCCCTGGTGGGTTCCTGGGTTACCCATGTCTACCAAGTAGCATTTCTCAGTATCCTTCCTGATTTGAGCTCCAGTTTTCCTAGGACCTGAGCCCTGGTCTCTAAGCCATTTGCTTGGGACTCCTGCTGGGTAAACCTTACCCTCTGTACCCCAAATTCTTGACTGAAGCCCTATTTCAATGTGACTAAATTTTCCTATAGCCAAGTTTCCATGACCTGCCTGGCACCAAATATTAACCATAGTTCAAAGACTTCACTTTAGTTCATATGTCCTATTATATATGTACCAGCTACTCTTGAGAGGATGGGGGCAGTCTTCTACTGTTCACTGTTGAAGTTCCAACATGCCACATTGGAAAGCCCTGAAACACACGTTGCTGGGTAAGGACCCTTAGAGCATGTACTGCGTACATATTGACTGCTGTTCAAAAACACTTACCTCTTAAAATATTTATTACCTAACAAAGTTAACCAAGTCCCTGAGGCCTAGGATATTGTTCATAATCTAAGATGACCATTCTTATTCTGAAGAGATGTGTTTTCATATTTAATAATACTAACTTGAGATAAATACAAATATTATAAGATTCTTTATCTGGTTGGGTGGTGAGCGAAACCTTCATTCCTGAAAGGTCTGAATCATGGTGGTCCTGTTGTGTTACCTTCTCAATCTCCTTAAACAATTATTTATATTAAATTCTCTCTGATAAGCCCTGGCCAGGTAGTTCAGTTGGTTAGAGCATCATCCTGATGCACCAGGTTGTGGATTCGATCCCCAGTCAGAGCACATACAATAATCAACAGATGAATGAATGCGTGATTGAGTGGAACAATGAATCCCCCTCCCCCTACCCCTTCCTCTCAAATCAATAAAAAATATTTATAAATAAATTCTCTCTGATAAAGAACTACTTTCTTGATGGATGTTAACTAAACTTATTGTGGTAATTGCACTGAAATGTACGTATATCAACTAATTATGCTGTATACCTTAAATCTATACAGTGCTGTTTGTTGATTATATCTCAATAAAACTGATAAAAACTGCTTTTCTGACTGGACTCTGAAGTTACATTTTAATAAAGAGAGTCTGTCTAAACAATTTGATTTAACAAGGACACTGGTATTATAATTAAAAAATTGTTAACTGTACAGGCCACTATTTCTATTACATAGGTTTATCATGTAGTTATTAATCAAAAATCCTGTACCTATCCTTACAGAGTCTCAACTAATTACAGAGTCCTGCTATTTAAGCAGGACAGTATCCAGTGGGACTAGCAGAACCAGTTTTTGGTACTCGTGTGGAATTCTACTAAACAGCAAAAGTTTGTTTCTCTGAATATTTTGCCTTATGGCTAGAGGCTTTAAAGCTTTGCACCCTGACTTTGATGTTTATGATGTCTTGATATTTTGTTTGGATGTGGCGAAGTAATGTTGTTACAGTCAGCTTTACAGGGGAAAAGGCTTGAGTGAGCTTAACTAAATCAGGCCCGTCCAATATTTACCATCTAGATTGCATTGTGAGAGTAGGAATTAGGGAAAGAGCTCATTTTGTCGTTATAAGCATGCATTTCAATGTTGTGATTCCTGGACTTCATATTCTGGCACTGGTATTTACAAATCATAGACCTTTTGAACAAGTTACTTAAACTCTTGTGAGTCTCAGTTTTCTATATAATAGGGATAACAACCACCTCATGGAATTATTATGGGAATAAAAGGAGTTAATACCTATAAAGCCCTTAGAAAAATTCTCACCATGGAGTAGGTACTGAAGGAACAGTATTATGTTCATCTTCCAATAAATATGCTTACTGGTTAAATAACCTAGTTGTCCCAAAGATGAATATGAGCATCACAATAAGTGGTTGGAGTAGATGATCATTAATGTGGTCTAGCAAGGGGTAGAGAACAGCTCAGGTTGCTATCCTAGGCCTGCAAAACTAAATTCCAGACAGCAGGAAGAATGGTGAGAGTGTGCCACAAAGGACATGACTAATCTAATCCTGTGAACTTGAGGTCCAATAATACACAGAATAGCTTTGTGAAAGTGAGAAGGACCAAATGAGTGCCCCAAAGGTTTGATATAGGCCATCCCTAAAGCCTGCAGTTGTGTCACCCTAATCATGGTGCACCCTATCCAAGCTGTGTCACTGTATGACAAATAGAAACAAGTTATCCCAAAAGAAATAAATTCACTCTCAAAGGAGCTAAAAGGATATTTCTTTTTTTGAAGGATACTTTTGAACTAGGTTGTCCCACAGAAAGCCACGCCAAAGGAGAAAGGGCTCTTGAGTGGTCACGTTGCTCCTCAGTGTCTCACAATAAAAACCCAACACCATCCTATCTCAACACTAAGAGGTCTTTCTAGCCTAGTACCAGTTAGAAAAGGAAGGAATTATTGTTAATTGGTATAAATATTGGATGTGACCTCGGGAAAGGAAGGATTTGGTAGTGTTCTGAAAATAGCTTTGCCCTTCAGGATTTTAGCAAGGACAAAAAATCATGTAAGTTTTTAAATTAACTTTCCCTAATTCAGAATAAATTGCATCAGGAGAAATGCCTGAAAAGCATAAATAAATGGGCGCAAAGGCTAGCTGAACTATGACCAAACTGTGACCCCTTTGGAAGAAGAACTCTCACTGAAAGTTTTGATCGAAAGAGCCTCTGTAAGGTTTTGTCAAGTAAGAAATCTGAAGGTGAGACTAGAAAACAAAGTGGCACCAAAATGCATCTTGATAGATTGAAAGAGTCGTAAAAATAAAAGCAAGTGGGGTATTGCCAATAAGTACAGGATAAGATACTCAACGTCACAGTCATTAGGGAAATGCAAGTCAAACACTGGAATAACTACTATTAAAAACAGGGAGGCTTGGCTTGGGGTGGTGAACACACAATGCAATATACAGATGATGTATTATAGAATCGTACCCCTGAAAACTATACAGATTTTTAACCAGTGTCCCCCCAATCAATTCAATTTTAAAATAGCAAAAAATAGGAAATAGCAAGTGTTGGCAAGGATGTGGAGAAATTAAAACTCTTGTGCCCTGTTGGTGGGAATGTAAAATGGTACAGCTGCTATGGAAAACAGTATGATGGTTCCTCAAAAATATTAAAAACAGAGTTAGCATATGGTTCAACAATAGCACTTCTGGGTCCACAAGGCTTGAAATCAGCAGCATTACTCCCAAGAGCTTGGGAGGCAACTATTTTCTTCCCCTTTGTATTCCCTACTATTAGTACAGTGCCAGGTGTATAGTAGGTGCTCATTAAAATTTCCTTTATGTTGTTATGAATTTTATAAAAAGCATAAGTTGTTATAAGAAACATAAGCTTCCTCATCTTAAATCAGAGGAAAGAAACCTCTCTCTCATTCCCAGGTTCATTGTAAGGTTCAAATGAGATAATACACAAGAAATCACTTTGGAAGCTGTGGAGCTCCATGTAAATGTAAGGCAATCTTGTTTTTATATTTATTGTGCTCTCGCACTATGAAAACATCAGTATTGAGGTTGCTTCTGATCAGGGGTTTAATCATTTCTAGTTAAAGCCATAGCGGAGGTTCAGAACCTAAACAGCATCCATTTGAAGGTGAATGCTGCCCCCTGGTGGAAGTAGAAGGGCAGGGGCAAGTGTAGGTAACAACGTGGGATTGCCCCAGGGGATGCTGACTGAAGAGCAGAAACATCAATGCTGAGAACGCCCCCGATGGGATCGAGCCCACAACCTAGGCACGTGCCCTGACCGGGAATCGAACCCCGATCTCCTGGATCCTAGGTCGATGCTCAGCCACTGAGCCACGCCCGGCCGGGCAAAGGATATTTTTATATCATTAACCACATAATGTACTTCCCTCCTGAACTGGCCTAGCAACATTTCTATGGGAAACTGATCATTCATCCCCTCACTCCATTCTCATGTTTCTCTCCACCCGTGTCCCCTCCCACATCCCTTCCCTCTCCCATCTGCTGTCCCTTTTCTCTCTTCACCCTTCATCCCCTCCTCCTCCATCTCCCCTTACCTCCTTCCCCATTCTCTCATCTCCACTCCCACTCCACACCCACATACCTAATATATGCCCTTCAAGGCAGAATCTGTATTCTGTAGATCCCCAATGCTTCATCCAGCTTTATGTAATCTAATTCTTCAGCTAAAATTCTTCTTTTGGGAGTCATGCCATCCCCTTGCCCCTCCCCACACTCATCATCCAAGAACATCCACTTCACTCCCATTTCCTGCCTTCATTTAACGCCATAATCT